TTCTAGCTCTGCCCTAACAGAGACCTTGACTTAGGTATGTAACCTCAGTTGAGCCTCAGTTTTCCCATCTGTAAAGTGGGGATATGATTTCCTACTTAACAGGGTTGTTGTAAGGACTAAGTTAGATAATAAATGTACAAGCTCTTTGCTTATAGTAGTTGCTCAATGCAATTAGGTTTCTTTTCATCCTAGTGCCAATTAAACAAATGATGGTTTCCATGTTCTGTCAACTTGCCTCAGCTCAATGGTTTTAGGTATGTGGTTGGATAGCAGTCTTTCCTGTTTGCTGTAGGACGAGGCCGAAAGCAATATCCTTTGCATGTGCAGGTTTCATTGAGGAAACAAGGATATTCAGACATTACATGATTATTTTATGGATAGATGAAGGTAAATACCTTGAGCCAAAATTGATTTTTGTCATTAAGGAAACAAAAAGACAAGCCACAGAACGGAAGGAAATATTTGCAATACAAATATCTGACAATGGGATGTTATCTAGAATATGTAAAGAACACTAAAAATAAAATTCAACTGAAAATAAGATAAGAAAGCCAATAGAATATGGGCAAAAGTTTTAAATAAACACTTAACAAAAGAAGATATATGAGTAGTTAGCTAGTAGACACATGAAAAGATGCTTATGATCATTAGTTATCAGAGAATGCAAATTCAAACCATGGGGATATACCATTACATACCCACTAAGATAACTAAAATTAAAAAGACCGCAAGGACCAATTGTTGGCAGGCATGCGGAACTGCTAGCATTCTCATACACTGCCGGTGGGAATGTAGTATTGCACAATCACTTTGGAAAATTGTTTGGCAGTTTCTTAAAAAGTTAAAAATACATCTACCGTATGACCATTCATTTCACTCCTACATATTTGCTCAAGAGAAATGAAGACATATGTCTCCTCTAAGACTTCTACATGAAATTTCATAGCAGTTTTGTTTGTAATAGTTCTAAACTGGAAATAACCAAAATGTTCCTCAAGTGAATGCATAAACGAAATGTAATGTATGCATTGCATAGAGTGGATTCTGGGCAGCAGTTAAAAGGAACAACTTCTAATAGATGTTACAATATGGATGAATCTCAAAACAATGTGCTGATTGGAAGAAGCGGGACATACATACTATATAATCATATTTACATAAAATGCAATATATAATATAGAATACATATATAACATATAATATTACATTTTATATTCATATATGTATATAAATATATATGTATATACATACATATATGCTATATATAAAAATGCATATATATATGTTGTGTATATATATATAATCTCAACAGTGGCACAGTGGATGGGAGAAAGAAATGGAAGTATATTGTTGTATTGTTGTAAGGGTCTTACATTATCTGTGAAGTGCTATAACATTATTTGAGGGAAAAATGTTATGTTAAAGATGCATGTTTTAGACCATAGAAAAATCACTTAAAAGAAATAAGAGTAGCATAGTTAAAAATCTACAGTGGAATACTAAAAGTTATTCAATTAAAAGAAGACAGGAGCAGCGGGAAAAGAGAACAAAGAATATATGGGATAAAGAGGGGAAAAATTTGCAAGATAATAGTTTTAAACTCAATCATGTTGATAATTATATTAGGTGTAAATGGTTTAAACACTCCTATTTGCAGATTGTCAGATGTGATAAGTCAAGACTGATCTAGATGCTTTCTACAAGAAACTCACTTAAAATATAAAGTCAGATAGGCTAAAAGTGTGAAAAGAAAAAATTTACACTTTCGAACACTAACCATAAGAGAGCCGGAGTGGATATATTAATTTAGATAAAGTAGACTTCAGAAAAAGGAGTGTTACCAGAGAGAAAGAGGAACACTTCATAATGATAAAGCAGTCTACTCATCAAGAAGACGTAACAGTCTAAATGTGTGCGGACTCAACAAAACAGCCTCAAAATACGTGAAGCAAAAATGGAAAGTACTGAAAGGAGAAATTAACAAATCTAAAATTATGGTTGCAGACGTCAGTCCTTCTCTCTGAGTAATTGATATAATAAACAGACAGAAAACCAGTAATGATACAACAGATATGAACAATATTACTAATGAACTTGACCTGAATGACATTTGTTGAACACTCCACCCAACAACAGCAGAATACACATTCTTTTCAAGTACACATAGAACATTTATCAAGACAGACCATGTAAATTTAGAAGGATTGAAATCAAACAAAGTATGTTCTCTGAGTAGAATGAAATTAAATTAGAAATTAATAACAGAAAAATATCTGGAATGATCCTCAAACGATCCCCAAATATTAGGAAACTAAACAACACACATAATTCATAGGTTAAAGAAGAAATCACAAGGGAAATTAGAAAATACCTTGAACAAAATGAAAATGAAATACAACATATTAAAATTTGTGTATATGGCTAAAAGAGTGCTCAGAGGAAAATGTAAACCTTTAAATGCTTACATTAGGAAAGAAGAAAGGTCCAAAGCCAATGGTGTAAATTTCTATTTTAAGAAGCTAGAAAAAGAGGAACAAATTAAACAATTAAATTGAACAAATTAAGAGAAAGAATAATAAGAATGAGAGCAGAAATCAATGAAATAAGAAGTGGCCAAATAATAGAGAAAAATTAATTAAGCCAAAAACTACTTTTTTCTTTCAAAAGATAGATAAAATTGATCAACCTTTACTTAGATTGATTAAGAAAAAAAGAGGCACAAACTACCAGTATCTGGAATAAAAGAGAGGACATCGCTACAGATCCTGTAGTGAAAGGATAAAATTAAATATTATTGTTACTATCGTTACTGAGGCAACATCAATGTAATGCCGACACATTTGACAACATATGTGAAATAGACAAATTCCCTGAAAGATATGTATTACCAAAAATGACTCAAAAAGAAATATAAAATTTGAATAGCTTTATCTGGCATTACTGATGAGATGTACAAATATTTAAAAAAAGAAAACACACTAATTTCACATAAACTCTTTCGGAAAAATAAAGGGGAAGGGTAAACTTTCCAACTAATTTTAGAAGCATTTCCCTGACACCAAAAACCAGACAAAGACACTGTGAGGCCCTTTTTCCTTATGAACAAAATGTTAGTAGATCACATACTGTAAAATATAAAAAGGATGATATACAATGACCAAGTGGGGTTTATCCCAGGAATGTTAGGTTGGTTTAACGTTTGAACGTCAATCTGTATAGTTGACCATATTAACATAAAGAAAAGCCGTATAATCACCTCAGTAGTTGGCCCTGAGTTGATGGAGAACAATCCATGAATCTACACCTCTGACTGCTGTCATTGTTATCACTCTCCAGCGTCTGGGGGCTTTGGTTGAGAAGACCAGTGAGGACATGCTTCATGGTACTTTCCTGGATCCTGTCAATAAGTTTGAGATGCTTAGAGGAGAGTACCCACCCTGTGTGTTGACCACCCTTGACTTTAGTGCCTGGTCCTGGGGCTGCCTCTGTGTCCTGGAGTTTGGCTGAGCTTAGAAAGATTTCAGTCAAGCTTTTATTTCTAGCAGTTGTTAGACACTAACTCATTTTAATTCCCCCCCCCCAAAGCCCCAGCAGATAGTTGTATGTCATAGCTGCACATCCTTCTAGCCGCTGCACGTGGGACGCGGCCTCAGCATGGCCAGAGAAGCGGTGCGTCGGTGCGCGCCCAGGATCCGAACCCCGGGCCGCCAGCAGCGGAGCGCACACACCCAACCGCTAAGCCACGGGGCCGGCCCGACACTAACTCATTTTAAAAGAGACTTTATAAACAAGGCTAATAGGAAGGGGTGTTCAGAAGAAAGGAGAGAGGGGGAAAGCTGTACCCTCCACTGTGGTGTTTTGAAAGATGGCAGAGAATAAAACCAGAACTGAGGAGGGAGGCGTGCAGATGGAGGAAGGCCAATAGACATTGCTATGCACTGCACAGTAGTTGAGCCCACAGGTGGCAGAGAAATGAGGGAAAACAGTGACTCAACATTTTGGAGGAAGAAATGGTTCATAATCTGTATTCATTTCCTAGTGGGGCTGTAACTAATTGCCACAAACTTCGTGGCTGGAAATAACACAAATTGATCATCTTGCAGTTCTGGAGGTCAGAAGTCTGAAATGGGTCTCACTGATTACAAATCAAGTTGTCGGGAGAGCTACACTCCTTCTGGAGGCTCTAGGGAGAATCTGTTTCCTTGCCTTTTCCAGCTTCTGGAGGCTGCCTCATTACTTGGCTCATGGCTGTTTCCTCCATCCTCAAAGCCAGCAATGGCCGGTTGTCTTTCTTGTGCTGCGTCACCCTGACTGTTCTCTTGTGTTTCCTCCTGCCTCCCTCTCACTCATAAGAACCCTTGTGATGACATTGGGCTCACCTGGATAATCCGGGCTAACCTCCCCCCATCTCAGGATCCTTAATTAAATTACATCTGCAAAATCCCTTTTGCCAGGTGGGGTAACATACTCTCAGGATCCAGGGATGAGGACCTGGACATTGTTGGGGGCCGCTATTCTGTCTAGCACACAATATATTTCAGAATTTTCGATGGCAGTGGAATTTAAAAGATTAAAAATACAAGAGATGTGTGAAACTTTTTTTGTGTGAATGGCAGCAGAGAATAGTCTGGAATATGATCCTGTATGTGTAGACTAAAACAGGGAGAGAGTTAAGCCGAGTGCTCACATTTAATGGGGTCAAGGGGTGTCAAGACAGATGCCCACGTGAGCCATGAGGCCTGGGAGGGACTGGCGGAAAAGTACACTTGGACAGAAGATGGAGGAGGGGTTCCCCAGGGGGAGGACGGTGCGGTGGAGCCTCACGGTGCGGGGTGAGGGTTCTGAAGGGCACGTGGAGGCTTTGGCAGTGAGGGAGGGAGGAGCAGATTGTAGCCCAGCGTTTGCCTAAGCCGTCGGCCTGTGCTTTCGTTCCTCGCCTGCTCCCTCACACCTGTGCTGGGCGCTGCTGGGTCCATCACCCGTCTCTGCTTGTCTCACAGGTATGCTGGGGTCCTCCTGGATGAGGACGTCTTCCACGGGAAGGAGCTCGTCCACTGTCGCCCGCTGCAGGCGCTGGTGGCGGGGCTGAAGGCCTACAGCACCTGGGAGAACCTCAGATGCCTGCAGGACTGCCGTGAGTGCACCGGAGGCATGGTGAGCCCCCGCAGCCCCGAGGGGTGCCAGACCCGCAGGGCCCCAGTGTTATAGCAAGCGTGGAGGGAGTATCGTGTGCCAGTGGGTGGAGCACTGGCTTTGGAGCCAGGCGGAAATCCCCACTGCCCTCGTGACCCTGAGTGCATTACTTAGCCTTGTCGTCTGTGTGTGTCCACCTCGTGTGATGCCTCGGCGATACAGACCATGTTTGTAAATGCTTGGCCCGCAGTGCCCGGCCTGTGGAGGCCCACAGTAAATATCATTAAGCTCAGTGGTCGTGGTTGTTGACAGTATGGGAAAGAGCTGACAAGGGTCAGATGATCAAAGCTCTGCTCTGATGTTTGAATCCCTAGGGGAGAATGCAGGAAATGACTCCGGGGGTTTCTAGCCTGGGAAGGAGCAGACAGGGTCGTGCCAAGCACTTAGAGACTGCTCAGTGTGGCCCCAGCCCCGGGCCTCAGACTGGCCTGTGTGGTGAGGGGTAGGAGGTGTGAGAAATCCCGGTAGGACTCTTTGGAGAGTGGAGGGAGACTTTGAGAACAGCTGGGGTCTGTGCCCTATCCCCTACAGCCCTGAGAGCAGATGTGCCGCAGGATGCAGAATGCAGGAGGCAGGCAGTCTCTGCATCTTGTGGGGGCCCAGTGCTGGCGAGAAGGGTATCCAAGTGGGGTCTCTAAGGGCAGGACAGGTGGGATGTGGGGTTGTGGACCTGTGACTAGGTGGCACGGCAGGACTACAGGCATTAGCTGTAGTGGCAACTGGGGTTCAGCCCCAGATGGCAACCCTACGTCAGCAACCCCCAGGGACTGCCCTGCTCCCTGGTCACGCGCGCCGGATGCAGGCACTGCAGGAGGAAGTTGGGAGGAGGGAGCCCCTGTTGGGCCTTTGGCCTGAGTTTAATCCTGAACTTGGCTGAATATTTGCCTAAAAACAGCGGCTCTGAACCTGAAAGGGAGGATGAAGAGTTTTAGCCTCAGTGAGAAGGTGTCAAGAGCAGGTCAAGGGCAGCTGTAGAAAATAAACGGCGAAGGATGAGTTTCTGGAGAGCCTGACACCATGCCTCTCTCCATCAGAGCCAGTGAGGGGCGAGCAGTGAGGAGGGGCTGGGCCTTCACAACAGACAGAGCCCGGGAGTTTCTGTGGATTGGGATGAGAGCCTCCTGTGTCCTCTCATGTGAAGGCCAGCGTGATCATTTCTCTTAAGGTGGCTGGGTAAAGATGTGCCCGTGATGAAGGGGCCTCGGATAGGCAGGCGTGCACTCCGTGTCCATGATGGCGGTGGTGGGCATGCTTGCTTTGCCCCTGTGGGGATGTTGTGTGGGGGTCCACATGGAAAAGAAGGAGAATGGAGAAAAAAGTGACAACTGGCACTGGGGCGCAGCTGGGCCAGGAGCCAAGGTCTTCTGAGGTAGGCAGGGGCAGTGACTCGTGACCTTCTTTAGTGACCTGACAAGTCGGGAGGCCCCTGCCAGGTGGCTGGTGTCCACCAGCAGCTCCAGGAAGGTGGCTGCTCTTCAAACAGGAGTCTGCTGGCATCAGTAGGACCAGAACTCAGGGATTCCAGGGTAGAGCGAGAAGGTTTAGGTCAGCAGTGGGAGGTGCGACTTGAAGTGGCCCCTCAGGCAGGGGCAGCCCACACAGGGGAGGGTTGGGGCACTGCTGGGGACACTGAGCAGATGCAGATCTTGTAGCTGTGACAGATGAGTCAATCTGAGGGTCTGATCAAAACCACCTGTGGTCTTCTAGTTTTCCTCCCGTGGCTCGTTTCCTTTGACGCATTTCATGGGCGGCATGCCTGTGGTCTCCTGCCCCCAGGCCTCATACCCTCCCTACACAGAGGCCTTCCTGCACTCCTCTTGGCCTCCATGACCCGCCGTCCTCAGACCAGGCCCCACTGCACCATTCTGGGAGACCACGTTCTCCCTCGGTCAATCCTGAGCCCTGGCAGGGATGCCCAAAACAATCAGCCCTTACCCTGCTATCTGGTGACCTGACTAGTCATACTCTCCTTTACTGCCCAGCACCACCCAGCAGTGCAGAAATGACCCCTCTGCCACCATATTATAGAAGAGACACGAAGCTGGAGGGCTGCTCTTCTGGGCTGAGATACCAGCCCTGTGATCCCACCAGGTCCTGCTGCCTCACACAGCTGTGCTTCCCAGGAGCTCCCCGCAACCTGGGTGCAGAAGACCTGATTTCCATTTTCGTTCCTTCCCTCCTCTTCCCCACTCCTGTATCCACCCAACGCCTACCACAAGGCCATTTGTACAGACATAATATTGGTTGAAAGAAAAGCACGAGCATCTTCTAATTGTTCTAAGTTCAGATTTCCATACACTGCATCTTCTTCAGGCAGGAGGTCTCCAGGAGCGGAGAGTGTGGACTTGAGTCTGGGGGGTTGCTCAGATGATACCGAAAAACTCTTCTTTTATGGCCTGTAGATCTAAGTAGGTCTTGCTTCTAAAAAATGTATTTCAGCACACATTTACGGTCTTTGGAGCCAGCAGCCCTGGGTGTGATCTTGGGCCAGTTATTCCCCTCTCTATGCCTCAGTTTTCTCATGTAGAAAGTGAGGCTAACCAGCCTTCCATTGTCGAGGTTGGGAGGGTTAAATTATGTGAGATGCTGAGCATAAAACGCTTCACACGTGAACCAGGAAGTGGCACTTGATACCCCTATGATGTGCCTAGCCTGAGGATTTGGAGAAAAAAAATCCCACTTGGTCTCTTTTGCTTGCCATCCTTCAAAGTGGGTGCAGAGCCCAGCACGCTGTGGCAGGCCCTGTGTGGCAGCCGGGCCTGGGAGGACTCAGTGAGATCTGGGGAGGGTCCCTGAGGAGTTTTTAAGTTCACTTTAGCAGTTTAAGTTCACTTTAGCAACTTAAAAGTGAACAAGAGCCTTCCAGGTGGATGTTGGAGGACCTACCGGGGAGGGGATACCCTGCACCCGGGGGGAAGGTGTGGGAGTATGTGGCACATCTAGAAACACCAGGACAAGCATGGGCTGGCTCCGAGTGAGGCTGCAGGGGAGGAAAGGATTGAAGAAAAAAAGCCAGAATTAGTCCCCAGAGAAGGGACTAACCCAACTGCACAGCTGCCTGAGGCAGGCACTCAGATGGCACCTTCAGTCCCCAGAACCATGGGGTGCGCTGACTGAGTTCATAGAGACAGAGCCTTCAATACAGTGCCTGGCATGCAGTAGGCTCTTGATGATGTTACTGATTCTAATTTATTGCCATTTTACAAATGAGTAAACTGAGGTTGGACTATGAAGGCAGTGAGGGCAGGGACCAAGTCCTTGATCACTACAGCCCTACTTCTGACTATAGTGTTGAGTATCAGTAAGCACCTGTTGACTGACAGACTGATGGACAGATGGGGTGTTGGACAGACAGACCAATGGACAGCAGATTGATGGACAGATGGGATGATGGACAGACACCCATGATGGACAGATGGGCTTGACTGAATGATTGCCCTGTGCATCCATTTTTCTGTCTTGCTCTTAGAATTTGGGACTGATCCACAAAGCTTGGCCCCCTTGGTCTTTTCTTGCTTTATTATTATTATTTTTTTACCCCAAACACTTTTAACATCAGACTTTACTGTCATTTTTTGGAGAGAAAAAACACTGTTATTGCCTATAGGCTACTCATATTCAGAGTGATGGTGATATTTATTAGCTCCAAAACCTGCCCATGCCCATCTTGATGGCTCATTTGTTATGTAGTTTAGGAGAAAGGGACTTGAGAAGAGGGCAAGGATGGGAACTCATTGTACAATTTATCAAGATATGAGTACATCTGGCACCTAATTTTTGCCTCTACTCTCAACCTACTGCCTCATGAAGTCCTGTTTCTCTCGACTGCTAACTTGAATGTTTGTCGCTATTGCCTAAAGTGAACATCAGCTGTGGAGGGCAGCGTCTTTGCTGAGTAAAGCACATTTGGAATCACATTTATTGTATTATTTTTACCAATTTCAAAAGTGATGCATATTCATTATAGAAATTTTTGAAAATACAGGGAAACACAAGGGAGAAAGTAAGTATATCCCAGAATTATACTTCCCAGAGATGTTTATCATGTGCACTATATCCTTTCTATACATTGTGTGTGTACGTGTTTAAAATTTTACAACCTCTCCTTTTCTCCTAAGAGTTGATATGGATACTCCTTCAGATCCCTCCTTTGCAGTCAAGTTTTAATGGCTAGTATCATCTAGATGTACCATAATTTATTCAACTAATCCTTTAGTTTCTGTCAAGTTTTTCATTATTATAAATGACACTGTAGAAAACAGTCTGGTACCTAACTTTTTCTTTTTTTGCATACCTGTGATTGTTTCCTTGGGATGAAGTATTTAAATGATATTTGTATTGTCAGCAAAGATTATACCAGTTCCCACTCCCACCAGCAGCTGAACACAGAATCTTAATAGTCGCTGGACCAGTGGCTTTCAAATTCTTTTGACCATTGACCGAAAGTAAAAGGTACACTTTTTATTACTACCCTGTATTCACAAACATACATATATGAAATCAAAAAAATAAATTTCATGAAACTTACCTCACTATTGTGATGTGCTCTAGTATTTTCTTTTTAGTTTATGTGATTTTAAGAAAAGCTAGTCATGATGCATTAAATTGATTTAATGACCTGCTAGTGTGTCACAGCCTGTCATTTTCAAAACACAGCCCAGACTCACTGATCAGACAGAGAAGGTCTTGCTCTATGTAGTTGAGAGCTGAGGGTCAGCAGAGTGTGTCTACGGCAATAACAAGAGGCTGGGGTTTCAGGGGAATATATTTTCTAGCTCAGACTGTGGCGTGGCTTCTGCTGAGACCAGGACCTCTGATAATTCGGTTTTCCCTGGAATGTTATTAATTTGACCCTTTGGGTCTTAAGATTATGTATTTGAAAATAGAAAAGAGATAAAAGCCTTTAAATGTCTCTTAAGCATTGACACTTACAAGAAGTGATCAGTTCTCTTTATCTGCTT